TTCACATTATTGTGTCTTGTATGTAAAAATACAAACCCGGCATAGTCTTTAAAAGCTGTTATCTTTATCTCAATGAGATAAGGTCTGAAATCTATGACTTATATTGTTCCTTCATCGCCAAACATAATTATACTTTTAGACTTGGTGAAATGAACGGACCTGGCGTTACCTAACTTTCAGAGGGAGAGTATCTCCATGTAGGTCTTTCTGCCCGAGGCCCGGAAATTCAGTAATTAATACATGAAAGCTAATTTAGCCAAGCCAACATAAGCAGGTACATGTATATCTGCATGGTGAGGAATTTTCTTGAGTATATTTAGTATTTACCAATGGTTGATAAAATTGGTAATATTTTTCGTATTTTTATGTAGGTATTTACACATTATAGTACAGTACATTATTCAAAAGGTTTTGATTAAATGTAAATATGAAATTTCTTCAAATTATTTTAATTTTGGGATAAATGTGGAACAGCTTCTTTGAGACTCTTATTTTGCCATAGAAGGTCCTCATCGATCTAAATTTAAATGATCGAAATTCAGCCACATACATAGATAAAATAATTTCTAAACGAGCGATAAATGCGTTTGTGTTTAGCCTCACCAACGCAACAGTCGAGGACACCATCAACATTTAATAATAAAAACATTACCACTGGGGATTAAAATCAGTGTAAATGGAGTCAGGGGAGACTATTCATCAAAATGACAACGCTGCACTAATACAAATAATGTATTGATTCCTCCTAGGATGGGGAAGTGAAAGGATATGCTATTAGCTATATAGTGAACACCGGGGAGAGGGTTGACTGAGCAAATGATGTTCTGATTATGTTGTTGTATGACGTCTAGCTATGTATACGATATAGAATGACATGGATGTTTCCGAATATGATATTTATTATTGTATAAATGCAAAAATAGGCCTACATCAATTTCAAATCACAACGTTCAAACTATGCACCTTAGGCGGACAGAGGAGATTTCCTCAAGTTAAAACTTGCCACGGGGGGGGGGGGGGGGTGCGTGGTAGACAAAGTAGGTCACTTGAACGACTAGGTAAAACAGGGTCAGTTTCCCTTCATTTTTCCGATATAACAATATTTTATAGTATATAAACCATTGGTTAATTTTATTTTGTTATAACCTAAAAAGAAAATGTAAAAATTGTTAAAGTCAACCTATACTTATCGTCCGCGATAATGTTACATGATAGTTCCATATAAAGCTTGACGTGGGATCATGTAGGCGATGCTCATTGGTATTAATAAGTTGCACAAAATGGCAAGTACAGAGTGAGCCAAAAAAAGGTAACCCAAACACAACTGGTCCCCACCCCACGATTTGTATCCAAGTACCTTTAGAATTACCAGTATGTTAATATTAACACCGGGTTACTGAAAAGCGAATCAGTACGAATACATACACCCACGGGCTCCAATAATCGAGTGAGAATTCCCCCACTTCAGTAACCAGGAAGTTGTCTGGTGAATTTCATAAGGTCTTGATTGCTGTGTCATGTTATGGCTTATTAACGTCCTGGTTACTGAATTGAGGAATTATCTGGTGAATTTCATAACGTCTTGGTTGCTTCATGTTATTAATTATTGATGACTCTATTTTCATTTTTCTTCTGAATTTAGCTGAGATTCAATTAAAAAATGTTGTAGAAATATCGTATTAACCATTATGCCATTGACATTAAAAGAAAAAAAACATCTTCAGAAGAGACCTATTTAGGACTAAATCAGTAGTATCGATGCAACACTAGTTCCAGAAGCTATTCAAATGTCGTGATTATCAACGGAATTGTGTCATATTCAAGTGGGATACAAAGTTAAAGAGTCTCTGGACGCTTGGTAGACTCAACAGAAAAGATAAAGCTGTGAAATCTATTCAGGTTGAAGGAGATTTCAAAGAACTGAAGACAAGATCGATCGGATGCATGACGAAGTGGCGCTACTTGGTTACGGTATCACCCTAAGGAAGTTTTGGGCAGCCAATGTACATGTATTGTCCCCCGTATGTCTTTTTACAACTTGTCGGTTTTCAAGCTAATTATTTGTTAATTGTATGGTATACTGAACTTATTTGATGTTTCAAAAGTCGAGAAAAAACAATGTCCGCAATATGTACCTCGAACTTGAATGACGAAAGCCCTCACGGATCCTTGGTTTTGAAAACATCATCATCAGAGAGAATAGCTCTCATTGATATACATATTGAGTACAGATATACGGGTCATAAATTAAACGAAATTCTAGATCCTCATATTGAAAAATGGCATGATACACTGCATAACGAGCATAACTAATGCCTTGGTCACATTTGCTCTGATTTTCACTACGGCGTCCGGCCGATTGAGTATTTTGTTCAAAATTGAATACAATATTGGACAAAACAATCAATCGGGAGGGCGCCGGCCGATGGATCGGAGCAAATGTGACCCAGGCATAAATATTTGCAGGAGAGTAAGCCTCCGAGTCTTGATAATGCTAGTTAATGCTAGTTTCTTGTTTTTACTGTTAACCTGATTGAACATTAGGGAGTTTAAGCTTGGATTTTAAATCGAAACGCCAACCTATACGTATGACAAATCGCCCATACATCGCTTAAATATTTCCGTTCACGATTAGGCTGTGAATAACATTGCAAGCTTAAACTCCCTGTTGTTAACAGTAGCACCCTGTTTCGTATTGACTCATTTAAAGCAAGCACTTCGGTCCCCATCATTGAAGGTGGATGGTTCAGGTTCAAAGTGAGTGGTGTAGGGAATATTTTGTGTGTAACCATAAATTATCAATATTTCATGAAAATGATATCCCTTTTGTATATTATGATTTAGAATCATTTCCAAGGCCAGTTCACTTTCCGCGGTCTAAAACTAATTCTTCTTATTCTTATTATCAGTGATACTTCTTCTTATTGTAATTCATCAGGCATAGACCTATTTTACACAAGTATTGTCACTTTCAGATTAAAGGTTAACTTATGAGATCCCAACGCTGCATTCAAATGACATTATAATTACGAGATTTATACCCAATTTATTACTGCTCCCAGTGTGACCTACTTTGTAGCTAGGGCAGTATTTAATTAATTGCTCGGAGAAACAAAACTTACCTTTGGGCATATACAAAATCATTTATTTTCTACCATGTGTCAATTTGCGTAGCCTCAATAAGGCCATTATGTTCTACAATATATCCTCTGGGACTAAAATGTCAGCGATGATGCTGATGGCTTAGTTGAAAATAAGCAATTTATGACAACAATATCAGGTTTTATATAGATCCATATAACAATGAATTGCCATTTGGCTCATCTGTTTTTTCATTATAAAAACACAAGAAAATATCAATTTGTAATCATTTGGATAATGCAAGAATCCTTACAATGTGGATATGCAAGTTGTTTTCGTTAAACTATTACAGGGTGGGCCAAATTAATAATTAATCTATCCAAATGATACAATATAAGCGCATGTATATATAGTATACATACCCGAGGCCAGGCATGTAGTAATAATAATAAATTATAGTTCCTAATGTTATTTAATCATGTCTAAAGTGTTTGTAAATGTAATTATAGAGTTGATTGGAAGATCAATTCGAAATTTGATTCGTCTTTGCACTCAAGCTATCTATGTTCCCTTTTAACATGTTTTTAGACTATATACATGTACACGTGTCTCTGTGAAAATTGCTGTGAACCATCAATATGTCAAGACGATTTAATTCTCCAAATTATTTCATACAGCGCAAAAATACCTAAATTCTTTCGCGAATTTGTTTAAGAATTGATCGGAGCAATACCTGAGTAATAGTTTTGTTTTGCTCGCCAAAGAAGTTGTTTTGCATTAACGTTTGTGCAAATTCCTCCAAGCCAAGAAGAAGTAGAATTGAAAACTGATTGTTTTAGAAATGCGAAACATTCTAGAGAAATTTCGCAACATTTTTATCATTCCCGTATAATGTATAAACTTATGAAGCGTTTGATTAAGTCATTATTTATTGCGCAGCTCTATACGTCCATAAGTTTGATAATAGGGAGTTTAAGCTTGCATAATATGAAGTCGAAACGCCAAGCTATATGTATGGCCAATCGCCCATACAAATGCATCGCGCGCTTAAATATTTTCTGTTCACGTTAAGGTTGTGAAAAACATTGCAAGCTTAACCCCATATTTTTATAAATTGTCGACTTTACGTAAGAATAAGACACTTACGGACGTATGAAGCTGTGCAACAAATGATGACGTAACCAAACGCCTCATAAGTTATATGGGAATACTAGACATGCTATAAGTCAGCTGCGAAATATCTCTTATATGGCATAATCACGTATAAACAAAATATGCTTGCCATATTAAAATCGTCTGGTTAGTGATATAACATCCATGAATAACATAGTGTAAAGATCTGAAAATGTACGGATTTTTGGACCACCCAGTAGATGATATTATAGAGCTGCGATTCGATGCATTCATTTGCAAATTAATGATCCAATGATCGGTGTTTGATGATAGGATGTCAATGCAAAACTTGGAGGACAAGACACCTGGTAAAGTAACCATAAAAAGCGAAGGTTCTATTTTACTTAGGACTATCTTTTTATTTGCCGACAAAAGACAATGCCACATTCAGGCATATTCTCTTGTTATTGGATTAAGTAATCTGAGTGATGTTTCCATGAACAAATAAAGTTGACCATCGGAAAAAATGTAAATCCAAATCATATTATGTTAATAGTAATACTTGTTGTGCAATTTATCTCTAGCTATCTTAGTTCAGTATATGGCATGTGTGATATTGATGACAAAGGTTCTCGCGAAGATCTGATAATGGGCTCAGTTGTTAATCTAATGATTGAACTGAGGTATAATCCGCTGATGGCGTTAGACTTGCAGCTGCATTTATGCTGCTTTTAATAACATTCATAATGGTCTGATTAATATAGCTGTACTTTTGTTTACAGTATTCATGCATGTTATTGTAAAAGATGAACGAACAGGTACGTATACCTGATATCTTTTATCCAATTTCCAGGCCTCAAGGCAACTCTGATATAACAAGGTATGGCTATGTTTACATATGCTTTATCTTCAATAGCGAAGACTCTATAGCATATAGATGATGTTGACATTTTGTAGGGATCCAGCATTATGATAACAAGCTATTGGATAGGAACCTTACCTCTAGGATGTAATTAAGCGATTGCAATTGCTCCTCCGTATGGAATTCTTTGCAGAAACGAGATTCTCGCATTACATTTGTTTTTAATTAGACTCCTTGGACGAAAATGGCTGAAATGATAACTGTTAGTGAGTGTTGAAGAACATTCATATCAGACAAGATAATTAATTCTGGAAGGAAACGTGCTGTAGTATGTGAAAAGTGCCTTATTAAAGGGAGTCACAATGGACGAAACTTCAGAAAATCATCCTTTGCAGAATCAGACACAGAAGTCAAAAACGCTAACAACTCAGCCGATCTCGAACAACCAGCGTCCAAAACCAAATACGCTGCCAGAAAAAGGATACATACCCATACCACAGGTGAGAAGCATAAGCTTTAAGTTTTACTGTAACTTATACAGAATTAGTTAGTCATCCATGATCGATAGCACGAATAAGATATTTTAGCTTATAAAAACGACAAACAAAATTATGGGAAATATTTAGGTTATTGATTTTGTGTGTGCACTCGATGCCGAAGAGACCATATGTGTTGTTCTTTTTACAATCAGGTAGAACTCATTTGTGATTTAAAAATAATAATAAATCAGTTATGATTTTTATGTCTGGTCACTCGTTGTTTGCGAGTGCATCTATACCAAAGAGGCAATATCAGTTGTACATTTTTATGCCAGGTATTACTCTTTTTTGAGTGAACTCTAGACTGGAAACACGATGTGGAAAGTATATATCAGTTGTACTTTTTCACTCGTTTCTTCTTTGACATTACTTTAGATATTATCATATTTTTCTAAAAATGGTGGAAAGCAAAATCATTCATGAATTCGATCGAGTTTGCTGGTTGTTTTAACCAACACGTCATAAACAATAATTGACCCCTGATGATGACAGTTCATACTCAAAAAGTATTGTATAACATGTTGCGAATAACTGATATGATATTTGTATATGTCATTGTAACAGAATAATCATTCATACATAAAGTGTACTTCATCAATATTTAAAATACAAATTAAAAAGCCAATGCATTGATAACGTAACGTTTAGTTTTTTTATTAAAAATACATGCCCTAACCCATTCTAATAATACACTCATGCTTCGCCTTCATGTATTATGTGAATTGAAAAGACCTCATGCTTTTATAGTCCCAATATAGAATGATACGCAGAATTCTTCATTTCTAAGTAAAGGAACTGTCAATATGTAGGTATATAATGGGAACTGGACATCGGTGAAGATCTTTTAGACTTAGTATTCCGATTAGCTAGCTATGACATGTGTATTTGCTACTGCAAATTAAATGAGACTACAAATTGCCACTGGATTTGTTGTAGGACGCTCGCTTGAATACAGCGAAATTAGCAGCGCCGATTCCATCATTCCAATTACACCTGATGATGTCGAATGTATGATTTACACTCAGTGCTTCCAGAGCCTTCCAGATATTGAATGCTTTTGACAGAGCAGAACAACGAAATAATGATGTCTTGAGAGGAAAATTATGTTTCATTAGTGCCTCCGTATTTCAATCGATAACTTTGGAATAACATTAATATTGTGATTGCGGACAGGATGATATTTCATTTTTGGCTCTCCTAATAGTGATTATGACATAGCATTTTAGAGAGACCCCTATGCAATAGATCTCCGAAATACTGAACAATTATTTCATTTTATTAAATAATTGTAATATTCCCAACTCTCTTATTAGGTTATACCATTCACATGATAAAAAATAAGAAGGTTTTCATTTCCCACTCAAGCAAGTGGCGTCAGTAAAAAGGCGAGGAATATAACAGTGAAAGATAAAACAAATATTTCATTCTATTTTCGATGAATAACACACTTTCATAGATTTTGCAAGGCCTATTCCCCTAGCCATTCGAGGAACAGGGAATAAACCTTGCTATGTTCATTGATTGCAACTGGTTTTCACCGAAAATAGAATAAAAGATTTGAATAATATTGGGGTCAATATCTTTTAATGATTCTAACAAGGTGCATTGTGGGATCCACAGCCTTTACTATCCTTTTGGAATAGTTCAAAAGCGTTAGGTAAAGAGGGACTCTGATAAATCAGAATGAACAAGGTGTACTCCCCGAATCTCAAAGGGCATACCTCAAGTTGTATTATAATTTAGAGTGCAACGGGTATTCACTCACTCACGGGGGGATACTCCACGGTTCAGAAATGAACATATTTGGATGGAAATGTATGAAGAGATGCTCATCGTCGCTGATTGTTAAACTGACGAAAACTTAATGGCGAATTCAAAATTTTCTGACAACGCTTTGAGTGATACTATGTTAATATCTGATGGCGTTTTAACAATATGATATCATTATAAACATTTTTCACGTCAAAATAATGTATGTATGTAGAAACATTACATCGACGTGTGGTATTCTGAAACAAGACGGTCGAATTTCCAAGGTAACTAGTATACAGTGCGCCAGCTTGTTCATATACCCGTATACTGTTATAAGCGGAAGATGCCTTCCCATATTCATAGGGCATCTTATACATTAGTTATGTTGCTTTAAGGGATGATAGTCACGCATCAAAGCCCTGACACCTCATTTACTGTACTTTTCACAAGGTAACGTATATTTTCCTTAGGAGTGATTCCCCGGAATTAACATGTGAGAAAACACAATCCGCGCGATTAATACACGCTGATATATCTCAACAGATAATAAAGTTTATTACACATATGGATTGATCGGTTTTGTTCGATAATCTAATCAAATATCAAGTTGTTTAAGTGGATAAAGTGGCAACATTTTCTTCAATTCATACAAAATTGCACCAAATTATTAAATCGCACTCCCTATGTGCGCCTTGGTCTAAAGAGGGCGCTATCATACACACGTACTGCACGAACTGAAAATTCTCGGGTATTGTAACGCCATTGGTCCAACCTTTTGGTGAGGCTACTTCTCATTTTTGGAAGACGTGTGTAACACGTCAGATAATCAGATAATTCTAAATTAAGTAGTGATATAATAATTACTCTGTGAGCTTAATATGCAAATTGACTGAGATGTCATAAGTGCTAGCCCGTGAAGAAACCAATAGAGAAAGGAAGATAAATGCAATGGACATTCATTTCCGTCACATATCACGATTTTCAAAATCCTATTAGGTTAAAGACATCCCATGCGATGTGCAATACTTCATTTATAAAAGAAGTCATTATGACCATGCAGTTTCTGTGATCGAGTTATTTCTAGTTTTTTTTTTATTTCTGGCTCTAGTCTAGAGTTTTAAATAGGAGCAATGGATAATAATAGCATGTAATAATAGGGGGTTGTTGGTACACTCCTCTCCATAAGTTTGGCAATCTTAGCTCACCCATTGAACTACGTGTTAAAGCCTCTTTACATTTGAATTTTTATTTACTTAACCGCCGATGAAAATACTATTGATGGAAACGCAATTTGACTTTATTTTCAATACCTCAAATTAAAAAAAAAATCTCAATTACAATAGGTCGAAAATTGATTATAAATTTGATGATTTTTTCTTAAAATCGACATTCCCATGTTAACCAATGGGAAATGATAGGTTTGCCCAAAGTCATATGGCAGAATATCCATCACTCCAAGTCCTTGCAGAAAATACAACTTATGTTCGCAATTAAATTTGCTAAATTTATTTAACAAAAAAATTATACCTTTCTTCAGGATCAACAAAGTTATAGGCCTTTAAAGTTGAAATTATTTTCTTTTAAAACCTCCCATTGAAATAACACAGGAGGTGAAAATGATTTTCAAAAATGACTTTGAAGCGCTGTAATTTCAATATTCATCACTAAACTAAACACTTAGTGTAGAAAAAGTAAGACAATTCAATTTTGTATATAAAAATATTTTTGCTGAATCTTTTACTGAATAGGTATCCTTATTTCTCATTTGCCCCGAACCCACCATTTCCCATTGGTTTACATGGGAATGACGATTTTCAAAAACTCATCAAATTTATCATCAAATTTCGATCTATTGTAATCGAGGAAAAAAATTGGGAAAATTTTGATGGTGTTAGAGATAAAGTTACGTTTTCATTAATATTATAAGTTATTTCATCGCAAGTTAAGTAAATAAAAATTCAAACGTAAAGAGGCTTTAACACGTAGTTCAATGGGGGAGCTAAGGCTGCCAAACTTATGGAGGGGAGTGTATATCATGATGCAATAAGTATCTAAAAGTAAGAAGCACGAACCGACAATTAATTGTAAAAGAAAAATTGTTATTGGTTTTTATCAAGTTGAAGGAGAGATATGCTTTAATTTATTGCATGTATGTTTGATATTAATATTCTGTAGACTAAGATCAAGTAATAGATACAGATACATTTTGAATCTTGGCAGCTTCAGCTTAGTGTAGTCTTTATTCAATCATATAGGACAAAAGTTAGACTCTGCAACCTGAAATTGAGGGTCAACTAAAAAGCTTTGAAATGTCGTTTAAAGGGGCAACAAGGCCTGTAGTGAAAAAATTCGAAATGTTTTACTTTGTCTGAGCTATAAGGGCAACATTTGGCTTGACATCTTCTTTGACATATCTATTTTTTTAAATGTATGGATAAACAATCAATTTCAGCATTAAGAAGTGTAAATTCAGTTCTAAGCTTCTATAAAGGGAGTCCCACTTATAGATTTTTAAGAAGAATATCAGCTGAAATAGTGTTCATCCGGGGGTTTCTTTGACGATAATACAAAATATATGTTAGACCATTATAGACCAACATTTTCTTCAATTTGATGGCATATTTTGAATTCGATGTGTAATTTTTAAAACAACTTTGGTTTGCACAGTTATTTACTTTAATTCAAACCAGGATTTTCAAGTTTTCTGAAAAAGGTCGGACTAAATCATAATTGACAAAACGTTAAAATACGTCAGATGTTCATTTTTCTCTTTTGAGGTTCACACGCACAATTTTAATGTAATATCACAATCCACACGTCAACAAAACCATCTAGTTGTCATGCCAATGTAAATACATCCAAATGGAAATACTTGATGTCAAGAAATTGAATGACTTCTAGCCTATTATAAGGTTTGGAATAAACTGCCAGCAGCGATTAGAGTTGGTCAACCCATTTCAAGGTTTAAAAGGTCAGTGAGAGAGTACACGAGCCTTGTCTCTGTATCAACTACTAAAATGACTAGGTGCATGCCAAGGCAAATAGAAATCAAATTCAATAGACTAAGAGCTGGTATACTTTTGAACAGTCACTTTTATTCTCATAATTTCCTGTCGGTAACAGATCCCAAATGTCAATGTGGTGAAAAATTCCAAACCACTGAACACTTTCTAATCAAGTGTCCACTGCTCCTTAATGAACGTGAAGTTCTTCTTGCAGGACAATCAGACTTGGACTGTTTACGAGATTTTGAAGCATACTCAATTCAAAGGAAAACACATTTTCTATTAAATGGAGATGAAAATTTGGACTTTGAAGCAAATGAAAAACTGATTGAAATCACTGCTCACTATACATTTCAAGCGATACTAAGTCTGGGACAGGGTAATTTTTAACATTTGAGCTTGATACCACAACTTGGTACTGGGGAACAAGCAAACCAAACAACAACAAAAAAGAAAAAGCTTCTCTGAACATTTTGTGTATTTCTGAATATCAATTTTTATTTATCAAAATGTTTCAATTGCCGATAATGTTGTCCTGTCAACAATGGCAATTTGTAAAAATGTAACCGATTGATTTTTAGAAATAAATATGAAGTATGTAAAAAAAACCTTCTAGCCAAGACTTTCTGCACTATCAACAGCATTCTGGCCCTACCAACAGCCATGCTGCCATCTATTTATCCATCTCCTATAATGGTAAATGGTCCATTTTAAATGACAAAATTGGTTCGACAATTAATGACTTCATTGTTTCAAAAATGGAAAAATTTCCTCATGTTGTTGTAGTCACATATAAAACCCCGAAAGACCCATAAATGTTGTTAATTATTATGATCCGAAATCTGAGAGATCAATTTTTATCGAGGATATAATCTAGATGTGGAACCAAATCATTACGTTGCGGCAGTCGTTTCTTTCATAACATTTTCATCATCCCATTTTACCGAGTGTAAGATGACTTATTTCTTGGCAGACTACCTCGAATTAATCTCACCTTCATTCACTCCTAGCATGTCGAGCAACAATTAAAAATCATATTGTCGCAATCGGAGATATATCAATGTTACTGAAAAGTCTCAAATCAATTCTTTGCCAGTACCCTATATACGAGGGGTGATCAATAAGTAATGGACGCTTTTTTACACAGATACTTTTTATTGACCAATCCCTTTGATTTTCCTACCAGTGATACATCATTCAATTATCTATCAATTCTGAAGATTTGAAGACAAAATATATAATACTTAGAGGTTATGTCACTATGACGTGAAATATGCCTGAGTTCTCCCAATATAGGCCGACCTTGGGAGGCTCTATATTTGGGCAAGAACGAAGGCATATTTCACGTCATAGTGACATAACTGATGTATTACATGCCTTTGTTCCCATGGTTACTTTGTATCAATGACGTGACGTCATGATATTATCATGGTTATTAAAGAAATCTAATATCAAAACGAGGTAAGCGGGCTATATCGGGGTAATCGGGCAATATCGGTGGATATAGCTCGCTAACTTTCCCATTGACTTCCATACAAATGCTTCGCTAGGTATGTAATACATGTTGATATATCCTTATTTCCGTGAAGGAGGTATAGGTACCCCGGGACCGACATTTACGTCACATATTCAGTTTTTAGCCAGTTTGGTAAATTTTAATTAGATTTGAAATTTATATATGTAAGAAGTGTTGTATTGTTTTAAATTTTTTTGGTGACTGGTAACACATAAACAGATAGTATTGTAATGTCAGAGTTTTGTATGGAAGGGGTGTGCAGGTCAATTTGAGAAAGCATTGTGTAAGAAAGGGGTGAGGAGAGAAGGGAACACCCTACTCCATATGGACAATGCATCTGCCCACAGATCTCAAAATGTTCAGAAAACAATATCCCTGGACCTCAAAATTGAGCCCTTGGCCAATGCACTATATTGTCCACATCTGCTCACATGTGACTTGTTTATTTCTATACTACTTATTTCTATAGAGAAAGGACGCAGGTTTATTAACATTGATTAAATAAAACAACCCGTGCAACTTTATCTTGCTACAATGTCAGGGAATGGATTCAGCCTTGTCTCACAATCTTGAGTTAAGAAGATGAGGAATTGTGTACATGTAGCACTTGATGGAACCTATTTAGAGGGCCCTGTGGAATGAATGTGGCATGAATACCACATAGAGCTGATAAAATATTCAAAATCAACTATGGCATAACAAAATGGGGTAATCCATGACCATAATGGTTTGTTTTGTTCAGCCTGCATTCAACTGCGTTGCATGTTAAACAAGCTAAAATAGCTTCAGAATATGTGACGTAAATATCGGTCTCGGGGTACCCGTACCTCCTTCACGGAAATGAGGATATATCAACATGTATTATATATTTTGTCTTTAAATCTTCAGAGTTGATAGATAATTGAATGATGTATTACTTGTAAGAAAATTGAAGGGATTGGTCCATAAAAAGCATCTGTGTAAAAAAGCGTCCATTACTTATTGAACACCCCTCGTATTTCATCAAATATTTACATGGGTCCTTTCAGATGGGTTCATCCAGCTGTGTAATTTTCTGATGACCTTTAATAATTCTTCTTTATGTCAAAGACGAGATGAAATAAACTTTATCAAAGATGTCTGAATCTGATTTATTTATATTTACCTAAAACTTACCGTATTTTTGTTTTGTTTTTCATACAACGTTTCACGATTGTCGATATGATTATAGTGCTGATCAAACATGAGACACTTTGTACCTTTTAAGAACATGTAAAATTGTACATTTTACGCAAACATGCAGAGGTTTCAAACCCATGGGCTATTTTTCAAACTTATGAACTAAAATAACGATGTCGGGGCTTTTTGGTTCACTTGTGCATTTGCAGGCACCAATGACCTGTTTGGTATTCTGATTGATTCCATCCATCCAATTCTGTCTGTGTGAAGGTGCCTCTCCACTACTTCATAAAGTGCTTGGCTCCCCAAGAATAAAAATTATTAGAGTTAACCAGTGCATCAGGTTGGAAATGGAGTTCATTTGAATAACAGACCAGCTCAAACAGCCCGAAAGTGGCCATCTGGGGCATGTTGCTTAAAATGCAGTAATATTGTGACTATCAGTCTGATGGTCATGAAATATGGCAGGTTGGTAGGAAATTAAATGATGTACAAATGTGTAAAATATCAGGGAGTTATTTCTTAGAATGACAAAGATATTAGGAAAAACTAGGGTTGCCGTTTTTTTGATCACCCTGTATGTTATATATCTAGCCCCTTCGAGTCCCGTCCCATTTGTTTTCTTTCTTTGTGTCTTATTTGCGAGGAGGTTCTCCAGATCATTAACACAAACAGTTGTCACAAGTCCGACGACAACACTTGGCATCACTTCACCGACGCTGTAAATTCTTCACCAAAAATATTCATAGGAATTAAATGGGAACGCTTTCAAATGCAAAATTAATTGCAATGTGGGGAATATCAGCTTCCTGAAGAAGTTGACCAAATAAGCAATGGGAATCAGGCCCGTAGCCAGGATTTGCCAAGGGGGAGGGTCACTTTTTGATAAATTCAAGGGGGGTTCACTTGTGACAATTTTGGTCCAAAAATTGCCAAATCAGTGAAATCACTTAAAAGTGCTCAGAATGGTGAAAACTACTTGCTTTTGAAAGATGCTACGGGCTTAGGAATACTTCAAATGTAAAAAGACCCGACCAGTCACAATTCAGACGAAAAATATATGGCTTTCATCCTTTCGTATATGACTATAGCTACGAATGCTATAGCCCATTAGTCTTAGAGGTATAATAGAAGCGATAAAATGATTATAATATGCTTAATCTCTCACAGAGAGTGTATGAATTAGGTTACTCATACTGAAAACTTCATTTGATTTACATAATAATATAATTTTACGAAATAAATGTTATTTATCGTCGTTTTGCTTATCTAAATGTGACTTAATTGAGCATTTAATATCATTATGTAGTTTAGCATACTGAGAAGTAATAACATTGAAATGTAAAACAAAATCATAAATCACATTTTAGTTCAAATCCCAATTAACTCCGCCCCAGTGAAACAAAAATTCAGCAGAGGTGGAGAGGTAGAAACCATCTCTGGTATCAACTCCAATTTTACAACCATTAATGCTATGTGGGATCCATCAGCCAGGACAGAGTAATATAGTTACATAGTTATATTCTAAATTATATCGGTCTCGAACTCCACAATTCAAATATATAGCTCGGCGTACCTTTTAACGAATAAAATAATAATGATCAGTAGTTATTAGAGCATCAAACACTCAGTTCAGCTAACTGATTGGACATTGATTAAAAGGTACTTTATTTTTTATTTTTTATTAATAATGGATGAAGATGTTATTGCAAAGGTTTATGGTTGAATAATAAGTTATTACCAAGTGTTCTGGAGGATTAATATTGTTGGGTTTCAGTAACAAGTATTGCATAAATAAATGGCGTTCAAAAATAGGTCCAGGAGTAAGCCCCAATTTCAAAAACGGCTATGAGCTGCACCTTTAACCCAAATACATTTATGGAATGATAGTGAGGTATTGATGAATCTGTCGTCTTTTGAACTATTTGTTCGCAAACGCATAGATTTTCTTAAACATATGATACTGACACTCGTTTGTGATAAAAATGTCATGTGGATTCTGACTAGTACAAAGTACAACTCGTACAACTTGAAAAAATAGTACCTTCGATGTTGCAACATTTTGTTACCGAAACGGAATATCTAGTTTGAAGAGGGTAGTACAAGTGACAGTGAAAAAATAATAGTCATTATTTCCATTTTAGAGTCCCCACCAATGCACTGGTCCTCCCACCGTAGTCGTCCAACAACCAACTCCCACAGCTCTCACTGCAGGCCAGCTGCCTAAACGATCCTGGGATAGTGGAATATGCGACTGTGATGACGATATAGCATCATGTGAGTATTACAAATTATAGCTATAGCTTATTACATATTCAAAAAAACTGTCATAGCAAACGATGCATAGTAAATAACGATGTTCTATGTACGAAGGACAAAATATGTTATAGAAAGATTTATCTTAACTTTTGATAGTATATGAATACTAATAAGACACAATTTTCTTAAAGCCCTTGACACAGCTGAAAAAAGTATAACATGAATATGAAATGACACAAATTAACGTACCTTTTTTAAAGAAAAAGGAATCGCCATTTATCATATTATAAGATGATGATATGATGGTTAAAAGACAAATTACTCAGGTTGCATCTCTTAAACTAGTTTTGTGAACATATAATAACAGGAAATAGCTAACGAGTTGTTTTCTGATTACTGTCCTTATTTCCAAAGAGGGTGTGGATAGAACTCATCATGATTATATCGGTTTGGTTTGTGTAGTATACCCATACTCCGAAGTGAATCCAATAAGGAGTGAATAATCGCACTGTGCACGTCACGATGGCATATCATTTACCAACTTGCGCACACCTTTTAAAATACAATGCGTTCGTTACCTAATATTTGCGTAATACCTCTATGTAATTTATAAGATGATCTAGATATCTAAATGTAGAGTATTTGTAGCCGACATGTTTCATAACATTGTAATGGAGTATAAGCTGAGAATGATCTTGATTTATTGTATTGATACATACTAAGTAGCAATTATTCAACATTTGCCTAATTAGCAACTTTCTAATCTGAACTATACACTTGCTAATGCCTTGGTCACATAGCCTCCGATTTTCACTACGGCGCCCGGCCGATGAGTATTTTGTTCAAAATCGGCCGGCGAGCCCGGGCATCGTACGGGCGCCGGGCGATGATCGCCACTCATCGGCCGATTTTTAGACATCGTACGGGCGCCGGCAGAGTTTTATCGCGGAGATAAAAGTTGCCGATGTCTTGGCGATTTTTTCTCAACCAAACTCATCGGTACCTACCCGGCCGTGTCCCGTCCGGTCATCGTACGATTATCTTACGGCGCCCGGTGGCATCGCACGGTCATCTTGAGATTTTGCATGCTGATTTGTTGATAAATCTTAATAATGATTACTTATAAAGTGATATAAAGGTTTTAGAAATAATGAGGTAAGGAATTATAATTACTAACACACTGTCAGAGATTTTTTATAAAACATAAATGGAACGATTAGACTTGTAGATTAGACTGTAAAACAATGACAGACATTTGAATAGCTGGGTGGGTGGGTAGGTTGATCTAGCCGTTCTTGTTCTTATATTGACATTAATCGTATATGTCTGTCATACACATTGAATAGAGTGATACATTTTTATGCGTATATTCACTCATGTATATATCCATTACAAACCATTTATTTAAAAAATCTTCTGAATGTTTTTGTACAGTATTTTCAAGGGTCTCTAATATGTCAAAGGCTAAGGATAGAGGGGATAAGGCCAATGGATCATATATGAGGAAGGCCTTGGGAAGACAGGTGGAAAAAGACAATAACAATGCTAGTGAACTGGTGGATGATGAAGATTTAGATGTGTGTGGGGAAGAGGGTTTTCCATTTGAAATAAAAGAAAAAATTGCCAATTTTTTTGATGATAGGCCATATTTTTATGACCAAACAAATTTACGAGAACAGACAAAAGAAAGATGCAGAAATAGGGAATTTTGCTAATAGCATCGGATGGACAGGTAGACATAATATTTGTTTATATGAAAGATCTAAAAATGAATTAAGGTCAGGGTGCACTTTGATGAAAAGACCACGTGCAGTATGGCAAGTGATTTTAGACGGTCATATCTTTCACCATGAGTACTTTCTGGGCATAAATACAGTGTTTCTATTAAAACAATATGTTTTCTTTTAATTGAAGTATCCATGATAGTAAAAATATCAATCAAACAATTTGAAAAATTATGAATAGGGATCCCATGTCAGCATTTTCTTCTAAATATTAAACCTATTTAGAGGATCTTCTTTTTCTGATTTTTATTGCATGAAAACATTATAATCCTGGAAGTCCTGTCTATCGAAGTATTTCATTCATGCCATGTGGAACAGTCAAACTGGGTCATACAAGAATTTAGTATAAATCTAGAGGCCTGTAGATCGACCGATGTCCTGGCGGATGTCGTACGGCCATCGGCAGATAGCCTTGCGATACCCGTGCGATGTCTTTCAGATTCAATTGATTGCGGGCGCCGTACGATGCCTGTACTAATGTGACCATACTCACGATTAGATCAAGACATCGGTGAAAAGTCACCGGCGCCCGGTCGATTTATAAATCGGCCGATGACTACTCATCGGCCGGCGCCCGGCGGCTATGTGACCTAGGCATAAGGCTTATGTACTGAACTTGATCCATTTTAATCTGGATGATATTTCATCTGCTGGTGCATTGCGCGTCCAAAGGAAAAATATGGAAATAGCTACTAATTAAGGAAATCATTATTCTAACAATTATGTTGACGATATGATTAGTTACTTATCAGCAACTAAAAATGTAAATATCTAAGCACAAGTGCCAAATTAGAGAAAGAGCCAAAAACTGTAAAGAATCCTAGCAAGAGGAGCAAACTCTTTAGTGTAAAATTGTCATAAGAAAAATAGATCTTTATCAAAGCCATGACCTAATAACGTGAAATGAAATAATGTCTAACATCCCCCTTCCCCTTCCAAGAGTGTGAAATCTTTAAGGATTGCAGCTTACTGGAATTGAGCACCACATTTCTAAGTGATCAATATTGACCATATCAAAAGAATTTTGCTGAACATGGAAAGAATATGGTTAAGCTAGTATTAGGAGAGAAATGACCTGGCAAGGAATGTCCCTTTAAAGGGAGATGTCATTGTAACTTATACTAAGATTTAATACCGTGATAGATCAGTAACTGTTGAATAATTGTAATACAAATGTGATTATAAACAACATATTAATTGATTTTTATCTATTATGATATATTGGTATATATGTGAAGAATAAATGTGTTATGCGCTGTCGTATAGTGAAACAAAAATACATTCTAAGATTACGATAGTATATATTACGTCATTATGGTGGACATGCATTAGGCCCCATAATAACTTTATTTGTTCACATTTTATTTGAAAGTAAGGAACACCCACTTGTTTCCCTTAGACACTAACCACTTTGTATCATTGTTAAAAGTGTAGCGATGTATCGCCGATGTTTATAAGAAAAAAGTTACAAAACATAAACACTCTACTATACCTTGCATTTGGCTTTCATGAGCAACCCATTTGGCTTATTAGTAATGATTATATATTTGTTTTTATTTGTCTGTTCCTTATAAATGGTTTATCGGTTGAAAGTTAGATGTTGATAAGGTACTTTCAAAAATATACTAAACAATCCAAGTAGACAAACAAAGTATCTTATGCATTTCTAGGTGTTAGGTATAGTAGTGTGATAAATACATACGCATTTTACTTTGGTGTGCGGATGGTCGTGTTCGACTTGCCAAACTAGCTGCTAACCTAGTATAAAACGAAACAGAAGGGTAACACAGATATTAAAGAGGTAGAGACTGATAGGCACACTATTAGAACATCCTCTTTATAATCTAGCATTAGGAGATGTAAAACATGTTCGTCCATCAACTAATGTACTGTAAGAGTTACAAGATGACAGGACGGTGTCGATTTCACGATCATACGCATAAATGAATTTTAAAATAAGTTAGGACGTTAAGTTACACGTTTTTAAGAGGACCAGTACGCGGGCATGTGATATTTTGACCCCCGAGATACATGTTACTGTTCTGCTCTCAATTCATTTTTCCAGGGACCTGGAAATTATTATTCATTACTCAATTATTTTTCGTATACCTTTATACTAAATCGGCCAATTAAACATTGCAAATGGGTGAACTAATCCATAGATGATGGAATTGCCTTCAATGGCGGAAAGCTCAAATTGCGTTCGATTCTGACAGCTGGTTGTTCTGTTGATTTTCTCAATATAATGACAATACTGTACCCATTATATACAAGTAATTTGGTCCCAAGACAGTATATACAGTATGTAAGATATCAATAAATACTGATAAAAATGCTATTAGCTTTTCTTTTTTTATATTTCTGACTAAATTTTTCTTTTGAATATTGTTGAGTAATATTGAACTGATGTACTGTAAGAGTTACAAGATGACAGGACGGTGGTACTGGGTTAAGCCTAAGGTAGTTCATAGGATGATGTATGGCTTTATTTCAACCTGAATTTCTTTAGTAACAGTATCAACCATATCTTCAAACTTCAACCTCTTTTCTATCATTTGAACTGTCAAGCAATGTCGATGTTCTTCAATAAAACAGTTTTACCTTTATATTAATGTTAAAACGATCTCACTGTTGTGTTACTTTTAACAGCCTTTTAGTGAATCCTTTTTATTGTACATTATCACTTTATATTACATTACATATTGTACATATGCAGGGAAGAGACAAAACGTCGTCATTTTTCAAAGAGAAAACGTAAACATAACTGCGAAATTGAAATATCATAATTATATACTGGTGTGTTGCTTAGACCAAAAACTTTGTCGTTATGGACTTTTAGATTGAAAATAGAAACCGATTGTCGAAACATTTTTTGATTGAAAAGGCATGATTGATTTTTTAATTTTACCCATTGGTGATGAAAGGATTAGTATATAATTTTGCATTCAGTAAAAATTCGAATGAAGGATAGATTCTTAAAGCTGTCACTCTCAGCTTTCCAACGGTGTATTGGAACCTTAGTGCAGAAGACCTAATTTAAAAATCACCAAGGAACACACTAAGAGGCTCCATTTTGCACAAGTAATACGATATACAGTATATGCATTCTATATTTTAAAACACATGGATTAAGTACTATCATCTTTTAATAATTTCATATTTGCCGCTGAGTGAAAAAATACTATAGATTGTATCATAATTATTAGAAAATAGGTGCTTATGCAGTTGTAAATA